TTCTGGGAGCAATCTGATTAATGTTGAAGGGCCGTACCAGGTCAGACTCAACCTGCTGACAGATTATTTAGTGAGTGCCAGGACTGACTCTAAACATTATCTCAGATTTTAATGGTTTCCTTGTAAAGGGCATTTATAGATGAAACCAATTTGTATTTAAAATTAATCATGGCTGTTGAACCAGAGACTGGTTAAGAAGAAATTCTTTCCTTGAGTAGGCAGTAGTTTGAAAAGAATGAATGATTCATCAGATGATGTTGCAAGGGCTATGATAGTATTCTGTTTTAACATAAATTGTTGCATTTAAAATTGTGGTGAAATATTACCCCTAGTGAAATAAGAATTCCTCAAAAGAAGTTTCTGTTAAACTATATTAAATTCTCTTGGAAACTATCTTCTCACAACTGCTTGAAAAACAGTAAAATGTGATAGTTATTTCTGGTAAGGCAGATCTTTAGTCATCCCTGATGCTTCTCTTTATTATTATTTTTTTTTAAAGACGACCGGTAACGGGATCTTAACCCTTGACTTGGTGTTATCAGCACACGCTCTCCCAAGTGAGCTAACCGGCCATCCCTATATAGGGATCCAAACCCTTGGCCTCGGTGTTATCAGCACCACACTCTCGCAAGTGAGCCAAGTGATCTCCCTATCCCTGATGCTTCTCTTTCCCTCACCCCCACCCCACAATCCATGTGTAAGTCCTTCTGTTTCACAGATTCCAAAAGTCTGCATGCCTCTAATCACTATGCCAGCATTTCAAGACAGGACAACTGAAACGGATTGCTTATTTGTCCTGATTCTATTCTTGCTGTCCACACAGCAGGCAGAAGGATCTTTTTTCTTTTAAAACTTTATTATTATTATTATCATTATTACTATTATTTAAACTTTGTATTATGGAAAATTTCAAAGTAGAAGAAGAAGAAGAAAATAGAAAGAACAAAACAAATAGATGAGTGTACCTCTCATTCAGCTTCAACAATGATCCATTCATGGCCAGTCTTATTTCATCTACTCCTCCATCACACCTCCTGTCACCCCCAATTATTTTGAAACAAATCCCAGACTTCATATCTCATTTAATCAGCTAATTTGAAATTGTCTTGATAGTGAAATTTTGCTTACTGGTGGGGAAAATTGCTGCCCCTTTGATGATAAGTTGTTTGTCATCCTGTTTACTGTCTTCCAATTATGTTTCCTCTTACTTTTTAGGAGGTGTTCCCTTTCTGTTTGATAACTACCATCACCAGAAAAGTAGAGTTTCATGTGTCCATTTCACATTAGGCCAGTTTTTCAGGGATGCATATATAGGCACTCTCCTACCTTTGTACCAAATACTTTTTTTTTTTTTTTCCTTTTTGTCTTTTTTCGTGTCCGGCAACGGATCACAACCCTCAGTGTCGCGCCCGTACCGGACCGGGACTGGCAACGGGATCGCAACCCTGATCCAAACCCTTGGCCTCTAACTACCATCACCAGAAAAGTAGAGTTTCATGTGTCCATTTCACATTAGGCCAGTTTTTCAGGGATGCATATATAGGCACTCTCCTACCTTTGTACCAAATACTTTTTTTTTTTTTTTCCTTTTTGTCTTTTTTCGTGTCCGGCAACGGATCACAACCCTCAGTGTCGCGCCCATACCGGACCGGGACCGGCAACGGGATCGCAACCCTCGGTGTCGCGTCCGCACCTCGCTCAGCCAGCGAGCGGGAACCGGTCTGCATGTGGGATCCGAACCCTCGGCGGGAGCGCCGCCTCACTCCCAAGCGGCGCACTGTAGCAGTGCGCCACCGGGCCGGCCCTGTACCAAATACATTATTAAAAGATATGAGGGGCCGGCCCCATGGCTCACTCGGGAAAGTGCGGTGCTGGTAGTGTCGAGGCCGTGGGTTCGGATCCTATATAGGGATGGCTGGTGCGCTCACTGGCTGAGCGTGGTGCTGACCACACCGTGTCGAGGGTTGCGATCCCCTTACTGGTCACAAAAAAAAAAAAGATATGAGGGCCGGCCTGTGGCTCACTCGGGAGAGTGTGGTGCTAATAACACCGAGGCTACAGGTTTGAATCATCCTATATAGGGATGGCCAGTTAGCTCACCAGCTGAGCATGGTGCTGACACCAAACCAAGGGTTAAGATCCCCTTACTAGTCATCTTTTAAATAAATAAATAAAAGTTATGTATGAAAGTTGAATATACAAAAAACATAAATGCTTATGTGGGGAACATGTTTCTTGCTCACAAAGTCTTAAAAATTATAAAATTCTGGGCCAGCCCGGTGGCGCACTGGATAGTGCGCCGCTTGGGAAGCGCGGCTGCGCTCCCGCCCGAGGGTTCGGATCCCACATACAGACCGGTTCCCGCTCGCTGGCTGAGCGAGGCGCGGGAGCAACACCGAGGGTTGCAATCCCGTTGCCGGTCCCCGGTCCGGTACGGGGGCAACACTGAGGGTTGCGATCCGTTGCCGGACACGGAAAAAAGACAAAAGACAAAAAAAAAAATTATAAAATTCTTAATTATTTTATAAAATCATAATAAATACTCATGCTAAAAATAAAATTCAAACAACATAGAATGTTCTGAAGGAAAAGGCAAAATATCCCCTTTTGTTCATTGATCACTTTCAATTCCTTATTTCCAAAATAATTATTGTTAATATTTTTATAGATCCTTCCAGAAGGGTCATTTAATGCCTTAATAATGTATGTATTTGACATTTTCTCTCAGTTTTTTATACTTAGTAGACAAACTGATTTTGATGTTGAAAAGAATAACTAGCTTGGTGTTTTGCAAAAGGTTGAATAGGAAATTATATGATGTTCACTTTGATGTTTTATTGACTTTCTTGAACACTGGTGTCCCCTTGATAAAGAAGCCTTAAGCAGCCTGTGGACTTGTGAAAATCTCCATATTAGTGCTGTCTAATAGAAATATAATGTGAGCCACATATGTGACTTAAATTCCCTGCTATTCACATTAAGTAAAAATAAAGGGCTGCTGGGCTGGCCCGGTGGCGCACTGCTATAGTGCGCCGCTTGGGAAGCGCGGCGGCGCTCCCGCCAAGGGTTCGGATCCCACATACAGACCGGTTCCCGCTCACTGGCTGAGCGAGGCGCGGGAGCAACACCGAGGGTTGCGATCCCATTGCTGGTCCCGGTCCGGGGGCGACACTGAGGGTTGCAATCCGTTGCCGGACACGGAAAAAAGACAAAAATAAAAATAAAAAATAAAGGG